TTTTTAACCCTTAAATGCATATTGTTGCCAATTGTCTACATTCCAGTTCCACTTAATTTTATTCAAAAACCTGAGTATGTGACTTGACATTACTTTTGGCGAGTAAGTTATATGTTTTTTGACATTTGAATGTGGTGGGTGATAACTTCCAGGTTGCAGAGGATTTTCACGGACTGAGTGCATCAAATGCAAGGTTGCTTTGTGTCACAACAAAAATCGCAATTGCTTTGCTGCATTTCATTTATAAATAATGTGAAAATTCCTATACTAATAGATAATATAAATACATGACCATTTGTTTACGTCTACAATAATTTTAGTAATAAACGCATATCGTTGCCAAAAGTCTACATACAACTTTTTTTCAAAATAAATACTCAATATTATTACCTAGATTTTTTTATTTATTTTTTACGTAACCTATATGACTACATTCCTATAAAAAACGATTTTTTAAAATTCAAAACAAAAAATCATGCATTTAAGGGTTAAACATTTCGAAAGTACTTTTCTCGAGATTTATTTTAAATAAATTAATATTTATATCACACAAATATTATGATAAATTAATATTTAATTTAATAAATCAATTCGATCATAAATCAATCGATTCGATAATAAATATTCGTTCTTTGTTCATTGGTATCGACGCATCTTTGGAATAGAAAGTAGCATCTACCATTGCAACTTGTTGAAAGCACAATCGCAAACACCTAAAAAAAAAGTTAATTAAACCACGAAATAATAATTATAATAAAGTTAATTAAATAACCAAACACCTATATAAAGATAATTATACCTGAAAACAAACCGAAAGCACAGCGATTAGCAACCGGTTCCACTTCCCTGATTGGTTTAATTTTTCAAACACATTTCACGTGTCCCTTAACGCATTGGCTGGCAACCATTAAGAAAGAGGATTCATTTACTATTTTTTACTTATCATTTGTTACTTATCGCTTGTTTATTTATTTATAAATAATAGATTTCTACAAAATAGGCTTGGCAGTCAATCCGTCGAACTGCTAAACATTCTTATCGTTGATTAATGTGTTTCCGCGACCGTTAATTACGGCACATAGAGCCGTCCGGCACAATAGCGAGTCATAATTCCATGTCATATTTGGGAGCTTATAATCGAATTATCTGTTGGAGTTTAATCATCATCGGCAGTGCGTAATCCGATTACGCTCGGTTCTAAAGGCGCGGCCCTTGAAAGGGCCATTAACATATCGCCGGTAAACCTGCGTAAACCCGTAACCGACCATCGTCGCGCGGGGCAAACTCCGCGGCTACTTTGGGTCGCATAATCGAAACTTTATATCCATTCCGTTGTTAAACACCGACTCGCAGTTTACAACAAGTCCCGCAAGATTGGAGTTTCCGGCTACAAAATTCTGCGGACTATTATATATGCACAGCCCACGGTGACTACACATTGGGTTCTCACGGTCGGTTACAATATTCCGTCGTCGAATTTAAACAAGGCCACCACACCGTCGCTGAAATAATACCGTCTGTCGTAGGCTCTAGCCGGCTCCCCGGTAGGTTATGATGGGTCCTACGGCAAACGTGGCCCCGCAACAATGTCTCCGCCCGATACCGCCCGCCGCCAGCCCCGTTTTGTTGGTGTTCCGCGAACTTTCGTCCGCGTTGTCAGACGTTTTAATGAAGATTTCCAATTAACGGGCTCGCTACGGCAATTGGACTGCGAAGAGTTATTACGAAAGGCTCCTTAAGGGAATATTACGATTCGCTTTGAGCCCTCGTTGCACGCTCCGCGAGACTCCGCCCGATAGACTCCTCCGCCTTCGACAAACTCCGGCATCTTCGATCGCGGGGATAATGGATTTTACAGAGGCCCGGGTTATTCTCGTCGAAATGAACAATGGTGGAATGTTTCATGCTCGCACACGACCGTTCGATCGGGCAGGTTCGTTTGCAATATTCGAACTCGGCGAATTTTCTCCGTCTAACTACCGTTTACGCGCGGCAAAATGGATTCGAACGGCTTCTAAGACGCGATTACCTTTTCCAGACTGGACTGAAACGAATTTTTGTTGTACATATTAAGGGGAATATATAGAGTGTGTCGTAAAATTATGTTTCTTCCGGGAGATTAGGAGCTCCTGAGGTCATTCGAAGTAACTCTTTCCTTTACAAAAATTTTCTCCGAGGCATCGTTAACGAGTTATTAACGAAGAACACCGACCAATGAGAGCCAAGATTAGCTGGCGCCAAGCGGCCGAGCCAACGAGCGGTCGCCTCTCATTGGTCACAGTTGTTCGTTAATAACTCGTAAACGAAGCCGCGGATTGCATTTGTGTAAAGGGAAAAGTTGTTTTAAATGACCTCAGCAATCCCTCATTTCCCGGAATTACTATAATTTTGAGACACTCTATTTGTTCAAATTATATCATGCTCGGTCTCATTTTAATCAAAAAATCACTTTGAATCGCTACGAATTACTATTGGAAATAATCGTGGATGTATGAATGAACTGATCTTGAAAATGAAACCTACTTCAATTGACTGAATATCTGTTTATGATTAATTCACACACACACACACAATAGATACTGAAGCATTTGATTTCTATTTTAATATAACAGTCAGTCATCATTTATGAAATTTAACCTATTCAAGAAATACGACACGATATTTTCAGTTGCATAAAGAATAAATTACCTGTACTATCCATTATTTCAAGTTCTCTAGAATAAGTAAAAAATGTCGCTCGAATTACCAAAACCAATTTTAGGAATGAAAATCGTTCCAATTGAAACTGAAAAAAAGTCCTGTAAATTTTGAACGCCGCAAGCGATAAAACACAACCGAATGAAAAGATTCGACTCATATAATCTGGTTACTTCGGATTTCGTGGTTCTCAGCGTCCACCCGGGCTCTCCATTATCCATACAGCCCCGATTGGCCTTTTTATCATCGCCTAATAAGTAGCCGATCGATTAATTAACTTGATTGCATTGTTTATGCGAGGGTAGAAAAACGAGCGGCCGTAAATCTCCTTGAAAAACGTTCGAATTTTAACCGACCACGGTTTCAACGGCACGGGTAAATAATGCCCGCCACCACCCTCGTACCAGCGAACGGGGTAGGATCGCGTATCGATCGCCTGTGTTCGATAAAAGACATAAATCTTCGCTAATATCTAATTACTATGTTAATGCGTACGTTAATAATCGCGTGACCGGATTTATCATTCAATTAGGCCCACGAGATCTTATCGAAGAAATCGGTGGAACTGTTTTGCGGTTGTATTCGAATACTTTTCCAAGCTGAAAGTCTTCCGAATGTGTCTGGGAGGATGTCTCTTCTGTTCGAAATATTATTCTAACGTGTACACATATATTTACGATGTTGTAAAAGCATACACTTTCCGGCAAAAGTTAAGAAACATGTCACGCAGACGCATACTCTTCGATGTAATAAATCTTCTTAACATAAAATTAACATTTGTATTGTGTCAAGGTTATTTCCTCATAATTTTTTAATTCGTAATTTCTACTTATTTTTTGTGTTTTTAATATTTTCATTTATCTCTTCTATCTTTTTTATTGTTATTATTTCTATTATTTGCCGTATGCACTAAATAAAAAGATTGCAATATACACAATCTATTAT